TCTGATGTTAGAAATATAATAAAGGGGCAGCTAGGTGACGCAGTGGGTAGAGCACCAGCCTTGGAGTCAGGAGGACCTGAGTTCAAATCTGACCTCAGACACATAACACTCACTAACTGTGTAACTCTGGGCAAGTCACTTAACCCCAATTGCCTCATAAAAAAAAAGAAAGAAAAATAATAAAACTTGATTACAGAGTTTCATCTGACTGAGTTTTTATTATTTTTTAGCTTGTAAAATCCTGTCTTGTAGATGGTGGTGGGTGGGTAGATAGATGGATGGATAAATGGATAGGAAGGAAGGAAGGAAAGAAGAAGAGAGGGATGGAGGAAAGGAGGGAGGGAAGGAAGGAAGAGAACAATTAAGCGCTTCTTTTGTGCCAGGCTCTATGCTAAGAATGGGGGTTACAAATACAAGCAAGTAAGACAATCCCTGCCTTCAAGTATCTTATATTCCAATAGGAGGAAACAATACATCAAGGGGAACTGGAAGGAAGCAATGGCCTGGAAACCTGATTCTAGGCAAAATAAGGCAAAGGCTCACCTTGAGAGGTCCTCATCCTGGGGTGGAGTCCAAAGTGTTGGTATGGATCATTCCAAGGAGAAATGCTGACTGGGGAAGATATTGTCAATTGGGAAGAAAAAAACAATTGTATATCTTGTCTTTATCTCTTAATGCTACTGCATCTTCATGCTTCAGTAGTTCCATAATCTCATTGGCATGGAAATCCCCTTGAAAGGTGGAGCAATCACAGCATATCCATGCTACATGCTACAAAAAGATAAATTGACATCAGGTCCTTAGCACACTAGAAATCCTGGCAATCCTAACCTAACACTATTCCAATGGAGCTTAGACTTAGTACTTCCATATGTTAATGAATCCACTTCCTTTCTGGTTTGATTACTCCCTCCAACAACCAAGCTTCCAATATATCCATGTCTTCTCATTCCATCAATTCAATTCAACAAACTTTTTTTTGTTTGTTTTGTTTTTGTTTTTGGTTAGGCAACGGGGTTAAATGACTTGTCCAGGGTCACACAGCTAGTAAGTGTTACTTGTCTGAGGCTGGTCTTGAACTTGGGTCCTCCTGAATCCAGGGCCGGTGCTCTATCCACTGTGCCACCTAGCTGCCCCAACAAACTTTTTTTTTTAAAGTGCTATTATTTACCAGGCACTGTCCTAGGCCCCAGAAATTGTTGTTGTTATTCAATTGTTTTTCAGTTGTGTCCGACTCTTTGTGGCCCCATTCAGGGTTTTCTTGGCAAAGACACTGGAGTGGTTTGCCATTTCCTTCTCCAGCACATTTTACAGATGAAGAAACTGAGGCAAACAGGGTTAAGTGGCTTGCCCAGGATCAAACAGCTAGTAAGTGTCTAAAGCTGGATTTGAAACCAGGTCTTCCTGACTCCAGGCCTGGCATTCTATCTACTGCATCACCTTATCTGCCCTGGGCCACAGAAATAAAAAAACAAAAATGAAAACATTCCTGCCTTTAAGGAACTTATATTTCACTGAGGTTTGAGGGAAGCAATATGTAGTCAGATAAATTAAGGTAAAATATATACATATAATTGCTTCTTCCCCTGTTCTCTCTCCCTTCCCACACACACACATATACAGCTGGAAGGATGTGGAAATACCTGATACAACAGACAGAATTTAAGTTGTATCATGACTGGAGCTAAGGATTCCAAAAAGTAAAAGTTAGGAGGCACAGAATTCTAGGTATGGACAATCTTGAAAGGCACAGAGGTGAGAGATGTATTATTAAGCATGTACTAAGACTAGCAGTTATGGCTGGAACATATTGTATTTGAGAATAGATAATATGATTTTTTTTCTAGATAGTTTGAAGCAAGATTGTGAAGGGCTTTAACTGTCCAACAAAAGAGTTTGTACTTTCTAATACATTCTCAACAATCAAACAATTGAACATTCTCAAGTGGGAGAGTGATATGGTCAGACCTCTCTTTTAGGAACATCAGCTGGGCAACTGTACAGATCATGTCCATCTTCTCCCGAAAGGGCAATCTAGATGCCAAAAGCTTCCTCTAAGCCTTTTTAACATCTCAAGAGCATCACTACATGACTTAGGCTGTCCATCTCTTATCACTTATCCTTGGTCCATGACCAATCCACATCCTTCCCCAATCACATATTCCTCAATGCTATATTTTATGACAGTAAGACCTGGAGTTTGAATATTACATGTTACATTGTTAGAAATGCCCAATGGTATATTTGGTCTCATACCAAGTTTTCTGCAAACTTGCTTTCCCTTATATTACACTTTTCTGATTTGTAAGTAAGTATCGCTGGCAATTTTCCACCATTTTCATCATCATCATCCTTTCCAAATGAGTTTATATTTATAATTTGTATTGCCCGTGGTTGTCATATCTCTCTATTTGGCACTACGAAATGAGTTGGGCTCATTCAACCTAGTGGTAATTGTTTTATTCTACTTAATTACTATAGGAAAAAAGTTATAGTATGTTTCCTTTCTTTTCCTTTATTTTCCATTTTTGAAAATCATTAGCTTGTTTAAAAGGTCAACTTGGAGAAATTTTAATTGAACTTAGTGTTTTCTTTTCATCTTCTTCTACTTACTGATCTGTTGTTGATTTTAACCTTTGCTCAAGCCTGTGGATCTGAACACGTGTAGAGCTATTTCTGAAATGACTCCACATCAGCAGTCACTTCCTGTCTTCAAAGACCTAGCTAATTTCATTTTTTTGTCTTTACTATTTCTAGTATCTTCTGACTCTCTCTTTGAAGAAAATATTTATAATATATTGCCCTGAGGCATCTATAAGTTTTTGGCCACTTTCATTTCTTAGCCTAAGCCATATTTTAATATATTTTTTCACTATCTTCCCATATGCCCACCTTTGCATTGTAGACACTAATTATTAATAATTACAATAATATGTACACACATATTATATACATGTATATGTATATATGCCAACTTGCTTTAGAGCAACTTGTTGACTTATTTATACAATTTGTCTGTCTCCTTATCATCTGCATCAGATTTTGATAAACACATTGCAGTTATCTTCATGGTAATTTTTTAAAACTTATGCTTATAATGAGCATTAAAAAGCCAAATGACCAAGTATCTCATAAAATTCTGGAGGGTTTTTTGTTTTTGTTTTTGTTTTTGTTTTTTTTGCCATTGAGTACATGATGAAACCAATTCTGACCACTCCTCTATTTGCCTCTTCAAGGGCAACCTGCATCCTTCCATTTAACTGTAGCTTCCTTATGCCTTATTATTTTATTTCTAGCAAGAATTTAAATATTGTTTTAATAGGCATGCATAGGGAACATCAGAATTTATCAAGCCCAACCCCTTCATTTTTAGATAATAAAACTGATGCACAGAAAAGTTAAGTAAGTTACCCAAGGTCACACACAACTTCCATTAATATCATGTCAGCTCCTTGGTGACTGAAAAGTGATTTTTCATTTTGAGAACCAATAGTTAATGGTTTTAGATGGTCTAAGAAATTCTCCTTCCTACCTTTCTAGGACTCTTCTTCTATCACTGCTAAAGCATAAAGAGGCCTCACAGGACAGAAGGTCATTTGTACAGTTATGCCTTCTACATCATGACTTTCCCTATCACGGTTTTGATATATGGTGGGTCAGCATAAGAAATTAAATGGGAATTTTTTTAGAGTTTTATAGAAGATGCAGATGATACAACACAGAAAAAATATAGAAACTCAGAAGTGCATAAAATATATGTATAGTATTGTATATCAACATATTTTATCTTTTAATATCATAATAACTCAGGCTTCTTCTCTGGTACAAAGGGAAGATCAAAAAAAATTTACACGGATTTTCCATATCACAGGGGTGCCATGCCTCTGACCCCTGCAATGTGGAAAGGATAACTGCATTTTCCTTTGAGCTTGATAGAACTTAAAAGAGCTTTGTACTCTGCTGGTATAAGCTTTGAGAAACCAGGTCACCTCCTTACCACATTGAAGTGTCAAAATAGCATTTTTGTGGGGGTGGTTTCTTTGAGCTTCAATATCTACATCCTAAATGTTGATGACAGAAAGGGAAGATCTAAAATATGTAAACATAGTCAAGTTTTCTCTCCTCCAGCATTAGACAATTATGCTTGTTTATAACAAGAAAAATTCTCACTTTCTCAGGCATTTGTTCCAAAGCAGTCAATTATTTTGTCTTCCACACGTGATTTTCCCTGAGGTGATTCATTTTTATTGTGTGTTTTTAATTAGCAAAGGGAATGTTTCCAAACTCTCTGCTTTTTTATCTTAAGCATAGCCATGTTCAATGACATGGAATGCTATGGAACACTTCAGTGGCCTCACCACTACAATACATTTTATTTGTAACTCAACTACTCATTCACTTCACATTGAAGCCAGTTTCTAGACTCATTTGCCAACTTGCTGTTCTTTTATGGAGGAGGGAAGTGGAGAAGAGAGAGGGACCCGTTTCAGTCATGAAGATTCCATGGTTAATTTTTTCCCCTCATTATTTTCCGCACATCTTCTATCAAACTGAATATAGGTGGGAAGCCTTGCTGGAAAGGGCACCAATTTGTGTAACCATATGCCAGGATATTCATCTGGCTTTAGGTAATGGGAACTAGAGAGTTGATGAACATCTTGCAGTTATTCTAGCCAAGATTAAAGGTGGATGGCAGGGCTCCAATGACAACTGTGCTGTGAAAGGTCTAGGATATCAGTGACTTCCTCTGTGTTCAAACAAAGGGCAATATTTGGAGCTTAAAAAGCATGTTGGAAAGTATAAACAAAAGGACAAGAAACCTCTGGATCCAAAATCATAGTAATGCCTCCTCACTGTCCCTTGGGGTCAGGCAAAGGGAAAGGTTGAGTTTTTGTAATAAACGAGGAGTCAAATTCTCCTTTCCTTACCCTATAAATATAACTTCATTAACTCTTCTGCTAAAGTTGACCATCTGTATTCTTTACTTCTTCCTTTTCCAGAGCACCTGAAAGATAAATTGGAAGAATATATGGCCCGGTTTTCCAAAGTGAGAATTGTTCGAACCAAAAAACGGGAAGGACTGATCCGAACCCGACTCTTGGGTGCATCTATGGCAAAAGGAGAAGTTTTAACCTTCCTAGATTCTCACTGTGAAGTCAATGTGAACTGGCTGCCTCCTTTGCTTAGTAAGTACACAGTTTCCTAACTGGAATTCCTGAGAAGTCAACAAAAATATAACCAGTATTGACTATATACCAGGCACTGTGCAAGGCTTTTGAGATGGTGAAAACAAAAATGTAATCGCTGCCCTCAGGAAATTTATATTCTATAGGGAGGCACACTATGTTCATGGGTAAGTATAACTCATTGTCATACTTCACTCATGTCCCAAATCTATATTCTTATCTACTTTTTGGTGAAGTGAGTTTCTCTTGGGATTCTACTTGTTTCGCAATTATTATAGGATAAGAAATGCTTTTTGAAAGCATTGTTTGAGAGGAAGGAGAGACTTGAAATTTAAACTTACACCAATACAGGGAAAATAAATGGTTAGCTAGAAAACTGAAAAAGAGAACAATCATCTCTCCAGATGGCACCTTTTACAGTTGGTCTCCCCAACCTAGCCTCAGGTTGGAAAACCATTCCCTTGCTGTGAGAAATTTCTCCCATAGTTTCTCTCACTGTAGCTGTGTTCACCAGACAGTCACTAAAAGAAAGCTCATTTGTAAACGTGAGCTCATCAGTAAATAAGATGGAAAGGACCTCAGAAGCCATCTGGTCTAAGATGAGCAAGTTCAAAGTTAGATGGGTTATTGTCACATCAGTTTTTGAGCTGAATCCTGACACACCTTCACTGGCATGCTACTCTGAAGACTTCTTGTGGGGTGGAGGGGAACTTGGATCCCAAAGATTATATGAATGGAATGCTTACTTTGGTGGGTCCTACTAAATGCCAAGGCTTTGCATATATTTTTGGTGTCAAATTGTATACTTGTGGACTAAGATTCGTTCTCACCAAAGCTCCAAGAAGTTCTGCATCAAATTGCCTTCAAGGTGATCCACTTTTCCATTACAAACAATCTCAAAGACCAGATCCTAAGGAAAGGGGTCACAAGCTCTCTCAGTTGTGCACCAACAGAATACCAGGTAATATATGGAGCAATGACAAGATCGTTTTTTCAGTTCTACCAATGTTTCAAGATGGCCAAGACAGCATTTTTCTCTCTACGTAGCTGCCTTCCACCCACTTGTAAAATGTCACATTTGTACAGCCTACTGCAGTGCTTCGTTGTGACCTAGAGGTGAACAACAGTTCTTGAGGCTATGTCATTGGATTACAATTAGCAGGGTCTACCAATAGAAAAGGATCATTAATCTAGAAATGGAAGAGAGCTTAGAAGACTTCTAGTCCAATTCCTTATTTTGCAGAAGAGGAAACTGAGGCCCACTGAGTTTAAATAATTTACCTAATGTCATGCAAGTGTCAGAGGTGGGATAGGGACCCCTTTTAGGACTGGATGCATCAAGATTCATTTTTTTCCAACTAAAACTTGTGCCTACATTTCAGTTTCTAAAGAATCAAATATATAGACTTTTAATGGGAAAAAAAATTCAGGTATAATCCCAAGGTGTAAAATGAACCAAAGTAAGCTGTATCTCCTCCTCTTTCCTCACTTTGAATGATATGTCAAAATGTTGATAGAAAATACTGGCTCCAACTCTAGAACCAGTATTCTTTCCAAGGCTTTCAGTATAGGCCTGATGATAAACTTTATATCTGCAAACTGAAGACTAGCCTACCTAAACTTAGAAAAGCTTATCATCAGAACTCTGATCAACAGATGATGATGTGTTGGGATCCTAGCCCCAACTCATGGAAACCATAGAAGAATTTAAATCCCCACACATGAAGGAAGTCCCCACAAATCACAAGTCTTTGAAGCTACTAAATCAATGTTTACATAGCACCTTTCTTAAAGACCATTTTTTAAATGTAGAGGTACATGCAATATGTCTTAATGAAAAGATGGAGTCGAAGAGGAGGAGGGTTGGTATATTCTTCATCAAAGCTTTAATTAGCAAGAACTAATTGCAAGTGATTAAAGCTAAGAAACAGATTCTTCAGAGTTCTGTTCTAGCTTAACTGTATTTTTTAAAGTGAAGTCAGAGCTGAGTCCAGCAAGAGCCAAGAAATATACAGTAAACTTGAAAACATTTTTTTTTAATTCATAGTGTGCCAATATTATACTCCCTCCTATTCTCCCAGATTCCACTAAATCAACTTTTGTTGTAAATATGTCCTTGGCCTTGAAGTGAATGCCAATAACAACTGCCTTCACAATGGGCCCTTCAGAGAGGATGATTTGCTATTGACTCGGGCTTTGGATTCCAACTAGAACCAGGAAAGCTCCATTAGTCAAAGATGGGGAAAGAATCAATTATAACTGGTACGGGATTTAATATGGGAAACAATGCAACCTTCCCCTCAAGCATCCCCAAACCCACATACATCAGACTTCCTGGCCATCCTAATCAAGAGAGGAGTGCCTCCAAACATGTTGCCAAGAATCCTTTAAGGTTTTAATTAAAAGTATCTTGTACAAGGGCATAGCAATTTAGAGTTTCATCAGCAACGGTCACCATCTCTCAAAAATGAACTCAAGCTATAGAGCATAATGTGCTGACATCTGAATACTCAATGAAGGCAGGAAAGTGCCTAATGGATTCCCTAACCCAAGCAACCTACTCAATGTCAATAGTAAAGTCCCTGAAAGTCCCCCAGATTGTTCACTGTACACCTAACCTCAAAAATAGAGCTAGTTTCTTTCCTGATTAAGGTATTTTATTTCCTCCTGGACCTAGTCAGTATAAGAAGTGACTAAATCCAAGGATCACTATCAATTTTTTTTTCCTTTATCTGCATCTTGACATAGCATTCCAAATAAGGAAACAAGAGAAGCCTCACCATGCCTTGGTTCATTTTATACCCTAGGATTGTACCTGACTTTTTATTTCTTATTAATAGTCTACATGTTTTGGCTAATGTGGAAATATGTTTTGCATGACTGTATGTGTATAATGGGTATCATATCTCTTGACTTCTTGATGGGTGGAGGAGGGAGTGGAAGGAGAGAAAGAATGTGGAACTAAAAATAAAATTTAAATTTAAAAAATTAGTCCATATGTTTGATTCCCCAGAAACTGAAGTATAGGCACAAGCTTTAGATGAAAAAATTAGTCACCCTGTGTCCACCCCCTGCGTCCACCCCTCATGTCAGCCCCCAATCTGGCCCACCAGGATCAGTTAACAGGAAATTTGATGGCAAGCTAATTTAACAGACTCGTTCCCTTTGCCCCTCCTCTGCTCTGGACTCCGTATTGGTCAAGTTCTTGTCAATCTAGCCCAGATCTGCATCTGATTGAAGTAAATAGTTGAAACCATAAGGCTTAAAAACTCCTGCAGAGATGATAGAAGGAACCTATTTAATTCAAGGATTAAGAGTCTCCTCCTTCAGGGCCACCTGTAGAATAAATATGTTTCAGATAAAAACTAAAATCCATTATAGGATTTATTTGTGACTAGCAAAGGGAAAGTGCTGCTTGTGGAGAGTGGTATCAATGCTGCAACCGTAGCCCCTCAGCGGCTCCTCTCTCTCACTGACTGTGAATAGGGATAAGAAAAAAAAAATGGACCTCACAAGTCATCCACTCCAGTCCTTTCATATTTCAAATGAAAAAACTGAGGTACAAGGACTTTAAGTCACTTGCCTAATGTCACAAGTAGTGTAAGGTGGGATTAGAACCCAGGTCTTTTGACTTCAAAGCAGTAGAGAATGAAGTAGGGAGAGTCCTGGGTCTGCAGTCATTAAAACTTGAGTTCAAATACAATCTCAGATACTTTCTAGCTGTGTAACCCTAGGCAAGTCACTTTACATCCATCTGCCTCAATTTCCTTATCAGTAAAATGGAGATAATAACAACAATAATAATATCTCCTTCTCAGGTTTGTTGTTAAACTCAAATGAGATAATATTTTAAAGTGACTACCTCAGTACCTAGCACATTTTAGATATTTCATCCCTTCCTTCTTTCTCCTTTCCTTCCTTCCTTCCTTTCTTCCTTCTTTCATTTCTTCTCTCCTTCCCTCTTTCCTTTCTTCTTTCTTTATTCCCGTCTTCCCTTGTTTCCTTCTTTCCTTCCTTCCTTCCTTCAAAGCCAGTGTTCTTTCCACTGTACTATGAGCCGCAGGAGCATAAAAGGGAACTCTATGGTCAGAGAGGCAGTGGAAAGAGCATAAACAATGTGGAGTCACAAGACCAGCCTGGTACAGTGGAAAAAGCAAAAACTTTGGATACTATACCTGGTTCTAACCCAGTCTCTGCCACCTAGTAACTGTGAACTTGAGCAAGTTACTTAACTTCTCTGGTCCTGTTTCCTCATTTATACAATGGCAGGGGGTAGGAGAAATATATGGCGTCTGAAGTCCCAATTCTAAAAGCAAAAATATCTATGACTTGAGATATCACCTATGTGAGCTCGAGCTGGGAAGCAATGCGGTACCATGGCAAGCACCCTGACACTGGAGTCAGAATCGTATTCAAATGTTGCCTGCGTGACTCGGGAAAGTCACTTATTCTACCTCAACCCCAGTTACTTCATCTATAAGATGATAGGATTGGCCGCTACATTGGCCGCTCTGAGGTCCTTTTCACCTCTAAATGTAGGACCCTCTGACTAAGTTAGGTAACCTCTCTGGCCTCAGAAACCTGTTTCCTCATTTGTAGAAAGAGAAGACTGAATTAAACAGTCTCTGAGATCTCTCGTAATTCTAGATCTAGGAGCCTACGCTGTGCTCTGGATACATCAGAAGCAAAAGAACATGGAGCTTCTGAGTCAGTCATGGACGGCCAGTTGTTGCCTTCTAAGTTGAGAAAATCCCTATGGAACAAAGCAGTGATTTCATTGGGGAGGACATTTCATTGCTGACATAAGTAATATTTATGCCAGATGATATATTTGGGAACACACTTGTTCTTTTATTGGTTCGGGGAACTAAACTCCCTCTTCCAATAGAGATGGCAGCTTCTCTGTCACCCACTTCAAGCGCTGACTGGGGCACTAAGAGCTTCAGTGACTGCCCCAGGACCACAAAGTCAGTATGTTTCAAAGGCAAAATTGGAACCCAAATCTTGCTGACTTTGAAACTGACTTTCAGTCTGCCAGAGGTAGTATTAGAGATCCATAAATGCCTGAGTGGTCTAATTAGGAAGGTGAAAAATACAAGTTGAGTATAGGCAGATGAAAATATAAATTCCAAATTTTGGAAACAAAGAGATGTGATTCTGGGTAGTCATTACTGGATAAAAAGTGTTTGTGGAAAGTAGATAAACTTTGAATTCACTTAGAAATTCCTTGAATCTTGAAGCATTGTGACCCCATATTACCCAGCTTTTTTTTTCCTTTTCCTCCTCACATGAAGAAAAAATAATTGCCAATGAAAATGAAGGAATGGAAATGACAGATGTGTAGTACATTTAAATATTATTTACCTTTCTTTTGATGAAGATATTTAAATATAGTTTATAAGCATGTCTAATCCAAAGGGTTGCCAAAGAGCAAAAAGGAGCTGATGTTGGCACTTGTCCCTCTGCCAAGTAGTATTAACAGTTAATTACGACCACAAGTTGAAGACACGTTCTTGAGAAAGAAAAAGACTTATTATGTATAGGCCCTAACTCTTCGTGTTTTCTATTACTTTTCCCCCATTAGGGCCTTTGCACTGAAAGTATGCTGTACTCAACTATTAGGGAATATTGTTTCCACTATCAGAGCAGAGCAGAGAAATGACAGACAAGATGTCTATAGGTAAACCTTTAGCCGATAGCAAAACCAAGAACAGAACTCGCTGCCCAAACTGCCTTCCATCATCTTACATATGGTGAGGGGAAAGTTAAAGCTTTGGGGAAGTCATTTTTTCTTACTGATAAACAGAGTGGGATATCAAAAAACCAAGGGCAAAGATCACCTTAACACTAACTGTGTCAGGCTTCGTGTGGCCAAGAATTTAATGTTCAGACTGTCAACATGAGAAAAGAGAGCGATCTTACCTGCAGCTACTCTCAGAGTCAAAGCTAAATAACTTTGCTGTTAAATATTTACATCCCAGAACCTCCAGAATGAGGTCCAGTATTTCCTCAGCAGTTCCTAATTGTACGGTTGAAGAAATTCAAGTGCTGTTTTTATTCTGTGCATGTCTGCTGCATGCTAAAATGACAGATTGGGGACAGAGCAGAGCAGAAAAGCGACAGAGAGAGTCAGATGGATTTTTGCAGGTCTCCCTGGGATGTTACTTTCTTAAAGGAAAATACAGCCACTCTAATTGTCCCTAATCACTGTCCCATTGTGTTAAGTCCACTTTCAGATGGACAGTTCCTGCAAATTTCAAAAGCAGAGTGATTTCAGGGCTTAAGGTTGAACATTAGCAAGAATCTATATGCTATTCTTTGCCAAAATATGATTGATGACCTGACCAAATCTGTCTTTCCCTGTTGTGTATATGTGTTTTTATCTTTCAGACCAAATTGCCCTAAATCACAAAACCATTGTGTGTCCTATGATCGATGTCATCGACCACAATCACTTTGGGTACGAAGCCCAGGCAGGTGATGCCATGAGAGGAGCCTTCGACTGGGAAATGTACTACAAAAGAATCCCCATCCCTCCAGAGCTCCAGAGAGCAGATCCCAGTGACCCTTTTGAGTGAGTATCAGCTAAGGAAATGCCAAGGGATCAAGGGTGGGCACGGGGTAAACCATTTTAAGCATGCCACGCTAGGGGCTACTCCTGAGAACAATCACTTCTAATTAAAAGCAATAAAGCAGGTGACCACAAATTGCACAAGAATGGAGAAAGGTCAAGACAACCTGTTGTGGACTATTACAAGCTGGATTGAATGCATGTCATTTCCCTGTCAGACTTTGCTGAGAGTTGGGGAAAGTGTGTTACTGTGTATAAAATAAAAGAAGAGAAGGGCCTGAGTAATAGGAGAGAAATGAAGAAGGAAAGGAAATATATGGCTACTAAAGGTATTTCCTTTATTTTTCCCTAAAGGATTCTCTGAACCAACTATCTTATTATTTCTTCACTGGGAATAGATGCATCAGTCTCTAAGGCTTCATTTTGTTAGTAAGTGCCCTAGTTATGATAGATGGCATCACTCCTCTGTATGTGTTACTGTAATTTAAACACAGGAGTATCAAACCAAAACAGTATCAAGCAGACTAGTAAATCATCTTTGATAAGCCTATTCCTGATCCCAACATTGACAGATCAGATAATTTACAGTAATGACCTGCCAACTCCTTGAAAACCCCATCTATTTTTATTTCTAGCCCCTCTCCCTTGTCATGGGGATTTATGCTCATCAGCAGAGGTGAGTGGGAAGACATGGCTTGGTCTGGCAAACTTCACTGAAAGCCAGCCCAGAAATTTGCCCAGAGATACCTGCCAACTGCTGCCAGCCCTTCACCCTGTTCTTTCCCATTAAAAACCTCTGTAATGGTATGTTTAACACACACACACACACACACACGAAAATTCTAAATCCCTGCATTTGTGATTTTACATTCTCCTCCAGAATGATTTTAAATCATGATTTGCAACCTGTGCCTAACAGCATGGCAGGGTTTAAAAATATGCACTGGAGAGTGTGCATTCCCCAACACTGCCACATTCAATGAAAGCTGGCATTTGATAAACATCAACATATTTTTCCCTCCATTCCACTCAGTTTCTAGCCACTAGGGATCTTTTTTTTTTTAATAGGCCCTTAGGGATACAACCTGGAAATGGATTTCAAAAGTGATTAGTGTAATGAAGGAAGGGAAAGAATATTTCTTTTGAGGGTTGGAGCACACTGATTAGGTATCTAGAACTTCAGAACATGGGTCTTTCCAGACTTCAAATTCTCAACCAATTACTATGCAGTTTGTGCAGAGAAATGAAGTCCCTTCATTATGCTCCTGACTGTTCTGGTAAATATTCAAGTACACAGAGACATTCTAGAGAAACAGATTCTCTGTTAACTTTTGATCTGAGAGAAGAACCTACCAAGAATTTGTAGTACACCCTGCAGACATCCGTGCTACTCAAGAGGGCTGCTTATCTTAGAAAAACAGTCAAGCTTATCAGGAGCCCAAGATAGGACTCAGGATCCAGGAGACACCACTCTGAGAATCCAGAGGAAGATACAGTGTAACTTGTTAGAGGATAGTGATGCCTGGTATGTCATATGGGCTGCTATGTACCCACTATATGCATATCATATGTATCATATGTTTTATTTCCAGGGACATGATCTGACTCCTGGTAAAACATTTTCAACTGTGTATAATAGGGAGCTGGGTAAAATGGAGTTTCATTGTATTACCATTGGGATAGGACACTTATTCTCTGCTAAGGTCAGATAAAAATGCCACCAGCAGAACCTCAAATAGAGAAAATTGAAAAAAAAATAGAAATCCACAGGCCATGCACTGACAGTCAGAATTGTTGTCAAGTAGCCTTTTGCTATGGCTGTGACAGTGTTAGACACCTTGTTGAACCCAGTAACCAAGCAAGTTGATAAGCTTCAGAATTAAATTACCTCTTGTTTCTGTCAGCCACTTAGATGGTGGCTGTACTGTCAAAATTGTGTTTTCCTATTGCTGCCTGTGTTTCTGCTTAAGATCCCCTTTTATTCTTAGAGCTGTGGGCACTTCAGTATTTTGTAATAAATGCAGCTTCAGGTAGGTGTCTGCTTTGATCTTAAAAACCAGCATTGGCCTTCATAATTGTGTAAGAGTGGTTATCAGAGCAGTGTCCAAGCAATCCCATTACACTCAGAGTCACCAGCTTGCTTGTACAGAGGCTGGCTTTTAGCTAAAATTTGCTTTCCTGGGCCTAGACTTTTAAATAGAGCCTTAGTATATGTGTGTATATGTGTCCCCCTCTCTCCTCTATATCTCCCTTCTCTCCCTTTTTCCTCTTCCCCAGTCATCCTCTCCCTTTTCTCTCTTCTCTATCCTCTCATATCTCTTCCTTCTCTCCTCCAGTTTTCCTTCCTCTCTCCTTCCCCTCTCACCACACTTTCTCCCCTTCACTCCCTTATTGTTCATGTTTTAAGATGCTTCAGCCCAAGTTTAGGTTCTATGTTAATGAACAGAGATCTGGGGTAGCAGGGTAAGGTGGAAGGCAAAAAGAGGGGTCAAAAAGAGTATATATCACAATTACATATTCTTTCCACACTATATACATGTAAAAAAAAAAATTGTGCTGTTTATGAAGAAGCTCATCTGCATGAGCTTTGTCTGTTTGTCTGGTTTAGTCAGTTCAGTCAGAACTTGTTGGAACTTTTAGAAATCGTGGACTCCCTGCCCACTAGAGCATAAAGCATAGTGGAAAGATTGTTGGATCTCTTAACAACAGACTTGGGTTCAAATTCTGACTATGCTACTTAATCCCTAATTTAGGTAAATCTTTTACCACTCCATGGGCTTCAGTATCCTCATCTGTAAAAAAAAAAAAAAAAAAAAAAGGTGGGAGTTGGAAGTAAGAGAAGGGAATAAGCACTTATTACTAAGGTCTTTACAAGTATTATCTCATTTGGTCCTCACAACAACCCTGAAAGGTAGGGGCTATCCATTTTAAAGTGGAGGAAATTGATACAAACAAAGTTAAGAGACTTGCCCAGAGTCACACAGGTATTAAGGGTCTGAGGTCACATTTGAATTCAAGTCTTCCTCTCTCTGGATCTAGCACTCTATCCACTCCATCACCTAGTTGACTCTAAATGGCATCTAGTTGGCCTAGAAGTCTTCTAAAACTTTCTTGGTACCTCCTAACTCAAAATCCATGATCTTATTAAATAAAATGCAAACTCCTTAGCCTACCATGCATAAGAATAGCCTACAGTTATATAGTGATTCAAGGTCTGCAAAAAGACTTTCCAAGCATTATCTCTGTAGATTCTGACAACCCTGCGAAAAGTAGGTGCTGTTATTAATCACGTTTTTTTACAGATGAGGAAACTGAGGCTCAAATATCACAAAATTAATTAGTTCCTGACATGGCATCAAATTTGTGTCTTTCTGACTCCCAAGTTCAGTGCATTAACTACTACACCTTGCTGCCTCCACATACATGCTCTAAGCCTTCAAGGCTGTTTCCAACTGGATCTCTAACTACCTTTACTAAGTTATCTTCAATAGCTTCTTAAAGGAACTTTCCATTTCCAGCCAGGTTAACTTATTCATTATCCCCTAAACATGCCCACTCCCTACTCATACCATTTTCCCAATTAGGAATGCCTACTCCACAAAGCTCTTCTTATTTAGGTGCTACCCTTGATTAAAAACCCAACTCTGGTCTTCCAGGAAGTCTTTCCCAAATAAACTAGTATTTCTACTGGATATCCATAGCATAGATTGTCTTTACCACTCATTTGGCACCTCCCACATGCTACCTGCTAATGTTCTTTTTGTTTTCCTACATACATATCTTTCCCACTAGATTCTCATTTGAAATATTTAAGTATAGGGACCATGTCTTGGATCATTTTTATCCTTAGTCTCTAACACAAAGTCTGGCAGTGCAGATGATCGTCCATGCACACAGTAAAGTAGTTCAACAACATTTACTTATGATCATCATAATCAATCAAGAAGTATTTAAGTGCCTGATACATCAAGCATTTTCAAGGCGTTGAGAAAACAAAGATAGAAGTTCAATGGTCCCTACCTTACCTTGAAGGAGGTTACTTTGTCTACTAGGGACACAAGCAGTACAAATGTAAGTAAGGGATTGGGCTGGACCTGTGATTTCACTGGGAAAAAGAAACTCCTTGGTAAGGAAACTCCCTCTTCCAGTTTATGTTGGCATCTACTCTACAACTTGGGGTTTTGGAGTAGAGCATGGTAGAGCATCCTTGTAATCCTTGCCACAGGGAGGCTGAAGTTGATGGGTCTACTTGAGCTCAGAAATTCTGAGCTATACTAGGCTAAGCCAATCACATGTCTGAACTAATTCTGGTTCCGTATGGTGAACTCCTCAGGAGTACAGGACCACCAGGCTGGCTAAGGAAGAATGAACCAGACCTAGGTAGGAACGGAACAGGACAAAACTCTCATGCCAATTATAAATGTGAATGAATGTGGTTTCTGCACTTGAAGTCTGGATGCAATATAGAGTTGTTCAGTCATTTCAGTCATGTCTGACTCTTCATAACCCTATTTGGGGTTTTCTTGGCAAAGGTACTGGAGTAGTTTGCCATTTCCTTCTCCAGCTCATTTTACAGATGAAGAAAGTGAGGTAAACAAGGTTAAGTGACTTGCCCAAGGTCACACAGCTTGTAAATGTCTAAAGCCAGATTTGAACTCAGGTTTTCCTGATTCCAGACCAGGCCCTCTACCTATTGCACCACCTGGCTGCCCTGCAACAGAAAGACACATTTTTAAAAAATCAAATCTTATAATTTTAGAATTCTTTAGGGCACTGAGGTCTAAGTAACTTTCCCTAGGTCACATACCCAATATGTGTGAAAGTTGGAACTTGAACCCCGGGTCTTGCTGGGTCCAAACACAGCTCTCTAACCACTATGTCATGCTCTATACATATACAAAATATAGCAAAATAGATACAAGATAATTTTGGCAAGTATTCTCAAATCTCACTTTTATGTAAAAATCATAATTCTTAATATCTACCAATCATTCTTCATGACA